AGAAATGAAAAATATTAATATGCATGTGAATGCCTTACATCGAATAATAATATATGATATGCAATGCACAAAATAAACAAGAATAGGATCTTTTTTTTTCTGCAGGAAAACAAAAATAAAAAGACGACAAAATTCCTTTGCTTTGAATATTTCCTAAACTACTCTAATATGTTAAATTTGATACTTCTGGAATTGCTTGAGGACAAATTATGGCTAAATCAGGGGGGGGGTGAACAATATCTTTTTTTCAAAATAAGTAAGATCAAGGAGGAATAAGTGTAAAAGATAAACACAATATGAATTTGCTATAGGTCATTATTTTATATTATTCTTAACTGCTAAAAAAAAATTAAAAATTATAAAAATAACATTGCAAAATTTCAAAAAAAAAAACATTGACATGTAATTTTTTCTTAAATAAAATTTAAAAAATATATTTTTTATTTCAAGCAAGCAAACAACAGAACAAGAAACAGAGAAAATGTTTATCTATTAATTTAGAGAAAACTAACTTAAAAGAGAATTGTGTCAAAACTAAATGTTGCAGAACAGTGCAGGTTAATAAGAATTCAAATAGTTGAATGATTTCGAAAATTTAGAGTATAAAGCTTCAAAAATATTAATTTACATTTTAAAAAACATCAGAAGAGAGTGAATTGAAATATTTGTTTTTATAAAGCTTTAACTTAAGCAATTGCTTTTTTTATTTATTTAAACTGAAGCAGAATAGTAGAAAATGCTATAATTTATTTATGTATTTTATGATTAATTAAAACACACCAGGTTTCAATGCACTAAAATTCAAAAAATTTACAAGAATAATTTACAGTCTTAGAAAATATCAATAATTTAATTGATAAATTATTAAAATAAATTTATTAGACATGAGTTTAGACTTGAAAATATTTCTCACATACATGTAAAAAAATTTCACTATTTAAGAAGAGGTTTCACTAAATATATATATATATGTCAAAATCAAATTCTACAGATAGCAGAGACATTTTCTTTTAACACTAAATTATTTTCTTTCAACACTAATTATTATTTTCTTTCAAAGCTAAAAATACTACAATAATTTATTGCTCCAAGTCACAAACAATGAATTTTAAAATGAAACTAATAATAAATGCATTGGAGACATTAAATGAATGAATACAGTATTAAAAAAAATGAAAGAAAATGTCAAAATTCAAACATCAAAAACAATTGTGAGAAATTTAGGAAGAAAAGAATTCAAGCTTATGTCAAACATGATGTATGAGGAAAATGTTAAATTACTATTTCGAATGAAAAATTGCAGATACAAGCGAAGATTCAAATACAGAATAATGAATGGAAATTACAAGATAAAGAAAAGCAAAATTATTTGATAAACATTACAATGGCAAAAAAGATACAGCAGAGTACACTTAAATCAAAATGTATTAAAGTGTGGAAAGAAATTTTACCTATTTCAAAGAACCCTTAATAGCTATAATTAATTTTTAAAAATATTCTATTTTAAAGAGTAATTAACAATAATCAAGATAGGAAAATTAAAAATTGACACATTTAAAAAAAATCGAAGCTAGAGATTTTTTTATATCACTACACAATCAAAGATGAAATATATAGTATTATATACAGCCAAATATTCAACATAGTTTAATAAAAAACAATCAATTTAAATTATTTTGTTTTCATAATTAAAAGATGGTGGAATAATATGCAAAATTCATAAAAATGCATCAGAAAAATTCTAGACATCATTTACCAATATAAAAAACTCTCTCAAAGTCTCAGCTCAGTAAAACTGCAGATAAAAAATATTTAAGGGAATAGAAAACTAAATAAACACAGGAAGAAAATGAAGTTTAGTCTGGGTACCGCCAATAATGCATGAATAAATGTATTTTATTAATAATGAATACATGGGCATATTAATAATTACATAAATAGTTTTAAAAAATGATTTTTTATAATATCCTTACGGAAATCTAACTTGTCAAACACACCTGAATGTTTTCATCAACATGACTTTTTTTATGATATTCCTCAGTATCAAGAAATCAAGTTGAAAATAATTATTAATGAAGAAAATATTAGATCCCACTGAATTTTTGAATAAATAACTTTGAAAATGAATAATAAAATTAAGAAAAAACATAAAAAGACAATAAAAAAAAAATTTGTTAAATATTTTTAAATTAGTTTGTGGCTTAACAAATTTTTAAGAAAATTTTTATTTACTGATAGATTAAAAAAATAATATTAAATTAATAAACAAATATCCAAACATTATTATCAAATAATATTTAGATTAAAGCTAGAATCATTTTTTATACTTTATAGTTATACAAGCTATTTAAACATAAATAAAAATTTTAATTCAAAAACAAAATTTATATTTAAAAAGAAAAGTATTTTATTATGGAAGTAATTTTATAACTGAGCACAAAATATCTAATTTCTTATTTATGATGTCAAATGTAATGATGTGCACCTTTTGTTTTAAGTATTTATTGATTATATTTTAAAATTTACTACTAAATGAGAGCTTTTAACTTTACTGAAAATACAAAATTTTAAGACAAATTTCCAACAATCAAAATGAAGATGTGAAAGATAAAACACATTTAAAATATTACAGCAAATTAACACTAAAATACAGGAATACAGTAAATTAACACTAAAATACAGGAGCAATGAGTGGGAGACACAAGAAATTCCTTTACAGAATAAAAGATGACAGTTATGATTAATCTTCATGGTAAAATATATACATACATACGTGTCAGTCTTTATATATATCAACTTTAAAATATATGTGCACTGAAATTAAATTGAGCTGTAACAATAGCCAGTTCTAAAGTAGCTATCAATGGCAATCAAAACCTCCCTACTCTCATATAACATAAAATTTTGCAACAGAATAATACATATATGCAAATACAATTGAATGAGTGATAATAATTTTGAAATAAAAACATTCATTTTTACTTCAACATATGAAAAGGTAAAGAGTAAGATAGAAATGAAAAATATTAATATGCAAGATAAATAAAATTTTATGTTATACAGAAAATTAAAGGAAAAGGAGAAATATAAAACTGATAATTTTCTCTCTTTGAAATTAAATAAAAATTTAAAACTAATTTTTCATTATACTTTTATTTACAAGGAAAAAATATACAGTTGAAACTATATTCCATAAAGACATTAAAGTTAGATCAAATACAAATCAGAAAGAAATGCGAAAAATTTTCATGTTTTATTTCAAAGCATTTCAAATCAAGACATAAATTATTATTGAATTTAAAAATTTAAAGACATTGTACAAATTTTACTCAAAGAGTGAGAAAAAAAAGGAGGAAATACTGGCATAAATGATATTTGAAAGACAAATCACAAAGTTAAAGTATAGAAGGCCCTCGACTATCCGGGTCCTGATTATCCAGCCTCTTAAAAATTGAGAAATGTTAATACTAGGTGTTATGGAAACTCTTCAGAGGAGAGCTAAAAAATGAGGAATGCTAAATTAGCAGTTTGTGGTTTTCACCTACCATCTGCAAACGTCATAAAAACTGTGTAGTTTTACTCTTTTCAGTCATAATTTTCCATACAGTTTAGTATATTAATAAACACTAAGTATTTTTGCCTTAATCATTTAAATCAAGATGTGAAGCACTCTTTAATTACATGTAGGATTAGGAAGTGGAACTTAGTTCCATCCAGCTTTTTTGTTATCCCATCTTACTCTACCACATCAGACCAGACAGTCGATAGGCCAAGGTATTTACTTAATTATTATTTTAGTTTTGAAAAATAAAAATAAATTAGCGTGTGGAATAAGCAATTTTTTTAAAATATATATAGAATAAGCAATTTTTTAAAATATGTTTCATAAAAAATTATTAAACATAACTTATGAAAAGAATATATAGAAAAACACATAAGACACTAATAATGAATGTTAAAATTTGAAGCTAACTTTCATAAAAGAAAAAAAAATTAAAGCAATATTCAAAAAAGGAAAGAAAAAATAATCTTAAGCAATAAGGCACTAACTATAAGTATGCTGTATTTACATGAAAATCACAAAGAATGCAATGTGATAGCAAAGAAATCACTACATAACAGGTTTTCTCATGTTTCAATCAGATAGTGCAGAGTAATACAAGATAAAAGAATTTTTTTATCAACACAATAAGATAAAACAAAGGTTTTTTACTCAAATATTTTACAAGCCCCTTATTTCAAAATTATTACTGGCAAACTTTAAGTAACAAATACCATACTAAATATACCAAATAATATATATGAAATCAAAATTAAAATAAAAAGCTTAATACCTTCCCGTTATTCGTACAGGTGGTATTCCTGTAGAGGTGCCCTGTTGTTGTTGCTGCTGCTGTTGCTGCATATTATTCATCATACGTGGACGAGGGCCAGAATTCCGATGCTGTTGTAGATCAAGAGGAAATCGTCTTGGCCCCATGGGTCGTTCAAAATTTGGCCCAAACTGGTTAGGAAGAAGTGGTCGATGAAAATTTTGATCAAATTCTGGAAATGGTGGATTATGCTGAAAATGAGAATCATAATCTGGCTTTGGTCTATTAAACCTATTGGAATCATCAAAAGAACTTCTAGGTCCAAAATCTCTAGTGGGGAGTCTTTGCTCAAGAAGGGGCCGCATACCGCGACCTTCTTGTCTAGGGCGATACATATCAGAACCAGGCCTAGGATTAAAAACATTTTCAGTCCCCAAGCGTGGGCCACTATTTCTAGGTCTCACACCTGTCATAGGTGGCCTAGAACTTCTGGGAGATACGCCAGGAGGTGGAGGGGCAGGAGAACTCCTTGGAGTAACTCCAGGAGGAGGCGGCGGAGGAGGCTGTGCCCCCCTTATTAAACCAGGTATGGGAGGAGGGGGATGGTGAGTTAAACCAGGAGCTAAAGTTGGAGGTGGATTGCTCATATTAGGTGGTCTGGTAGGTGGAGGAAATTGAGCATTAAAAGGTGGAGGAACAGTGCCTGGTGGCAAAGTAGGATACTGATGTGGAGGTTCACCAAACTGAGGTGCTGCTAAACTAGTAAGTGAAGTAGAAGGTGCAACACTAGGTGGCGGATGCTGAAATTGCATAGGCTGTTGTGAAAAGATTTGAGGGGGTGGCTGCTGTATATTGGGAAATGTGGGGGTTTCACCAGTAGTTCCAGTAGTAAAGAATGGAGGAGCTGTTTGAGTATATGTAGCAGTTGGAGGAAGAAGGGGGAGAGTAAAAGTAGTTGTTGGTACAACAGGTACATGTTGAGGTGGTTTTACAAGAGCATTTGTATCGGTAGACAATACAGTAGTATTAGTTGGAAATGACTGGGTGCTCATTGTTGCTGATATTCCTGATCTAAAAGTAGCATCAGATAATGTATTACGTTTAGGAGGAATCTCAACATGTTTGGAGACCTTACTAACAGTTTCGATTGGTTTCGGACTAGTTGGTGAAGATGGCTGAGTGGATGTTCCTTTAATTCTGTTAACTTTCTTAAGAGGAGGGGGAGAGCTAGCAGCACTAGATATAGTAGGAATTGCTTTGCCTTCAATGCGAGGGATTTTGCTTTCAACTTCTTTTTTGGCTTCTGCTAGAACAACTTTTCTTTTGAGTTCTCCCGGCTCTAATCTAGGAATAGGTAAACCAACAGGAGGCTCCTTAACTTTTGGTTGTGGTGCAGGTGATGTTGATGCTTCGACAGGGGAAGGCTGCAAATAAGACAAAAATGAGAAATAATAAAAAACACAATATTGTTGAATATGAATACTAATTTACTTTAATTCAAATCTATGTGCATAAAAATCAGATGAAAATAAAAAATGCAAAGAACTTAAGTACTAAGTGTACAAACACCCTAAAAATGAATTTTTTTAAACTTTATCAACTCTATTTTTTTACTCAATAACATAACCATGGTTTACTCAGCATGCGATTCACTGGACAACACAACTTAATGCTATTCAAATTACTTTAATTAGCTCCAATTAACTTATGGGCAAAAAGAAATTTTTTTAATTATTATATGTTGAACAATACTGAAATTTGACAAATGAAGGGGTTTTTTTTTTCTGCAATGCTTTTTTTCAGCATTTAATGAAAAATGGTAGTCAATTCAATATTTTGAATTTTGAACCAAATAAGATTATTCTATTGGTACAAAAAATTCGAGTCACATACATTTTATTTATATCTTATCTTGAATTTTTTTTTATTAACTAAATAAACAGATATGGAAAATAGAACATTGTCTTAGCAAAATAAGTAAAAATTGGAGATAAATACTTAGTCTTTCTAACCAAAGCTTTAATTGAAAAGAAGTAGCAAATTTAAACTCTGATGTTTACACTATAATAAACAGAAAGTTTTGGGTAAAAAAATTTTTTTTTAAAGTTTGAAAATAATAGTTTTAAGTCATTTATTTTATTCATATAAACTTATTTCAATGATTTTTTATGAACTAGATAAATACTGAAAAGAAAGTATGGTTTCATAAAAATGAGTAATGCATCATCAAATAAATACATCAAAATAAAGTGACAATCATTATTTTCAAAGCCCTTTCAATAACTTTACAAGACAGTAATTTAAGACAATATAAAATAATTTGTGATAAAAATTAGCGATCTCTGCATACTTTTAAGATTTTGCATGTAATAATACTTTTGCATATAAAATAAATAAATTTTATAAACTAGGGGGCCGTTTAAAAAAGTGCGTACATCCCAAAGGGGGGGAGGGGATTTGCTATTTTGTACAATGGGAAGGAGAGGAGGTATTATATAAAGTACGTACTTTATAAACATACACCAAATTTAAATATGACTTTATCCTACACACTCCTTAAATAAATATTTAATTTTATTTAAAACATAATTATTTAAATTTTTATGAAAAAGGGAGGTAGACTAATAAAATGTATGTACTCTAAGGGGGGGGTAAGACCTTATGTACGGTAATGTACGAAGGGGGGGAGGGGCTTAAAATTTCTCCATTTTCGTGTATGTACTTTTTGAACGGCCCCTAGGTGAATGGTCAATAACAAGATAAATCCCCAAAATGACTGGAGAAATAGCCTAAAAATTATAAATAACTGCGGTAAAATTACATGGATTTAAGACTTCTTCTCTTCATGACTCAGGCACGTTAAAAAGCAATAATTTATATTTGAAAATCATGTTTCATAATAATATCGTATTAAGTATCTTGAAATTTTAAAACCAAGGAAGAAATAGAAGGAAAAAAATGATTAACCAGCACTGAAAAGAGAAAACTATCAAAATCAGACTTTTCCATTGAATGTGTTAGAATTCTCGCTGTCCATAGTAACAGGCAAATATATAGTTAGTAGTTGGGGTCCTTGCAGAAAGCTTCAATCTTTTTCCTATAACACTGTTATAGAACATCTCTTGAAAAAGTTAACTAAACACTAATAGTAACTGGAGCACATAGACATAAAATTAATGAACTCACAGGTTGTGATGTCTTTCTTGTAGACTTTGTTGGTGGCGTAGCCGGAGGAGAATCCTGAGGTGTGCTTGACATTGGAGTAGAATATAAATCCAACACTTGATGACAAATATCTAGAGGGTTTCAGAAGTTTATTAAGCATTTAATTACACATCTATATAATATACACAACTTACGTTAAAATTTTGTTCTCTTACACAAAAAAAAGAAAACAATTTCTTATGTATTTGAAAGGCTGGATCCTAAGTTCACATTTTCTCTTAAACTGAATGGTGATAGATTTAAATTATATTACATAATGTAAAGAAGAATTATGCATTAACTCCACCTGCATTTTTTATAACATCTATGGATCTGAACAGTGATGCACGTTAATGTTATTTGAAAATGTTGATTGAGCAAAGTAGAAATTTCAGTGAAACTTCAAGCAACCTATTTTTGCTTTACTATGTAGTTTAGTTGATATATAGTGCTTAGAATATTATACTATTCCAAGCATATAATAATGTGAATATAGAAGAATAATTTTACTCATTTTTAAGTATGCATATTTTGACGGTTATTTTGATTAATTATTATCAAAAATCAACATTGATTCATACTATTAAGACTATCCAATTAGCAGGATTCTACTTAATGTACATTATTTGTCATGCTAACTAACTAACTCAGTGGCGCGACAGCCCATTAAGAGGGCCAAGGCCGACTGTGCCCATCTCAGTTTNAATAATATTTTTGCATAAGGATAAATATGGCAATATTAAAAAATAATAATTTTTCTCAACAAAAAAAAAAAATTACTAAATTTGTTTAAAAATAAACCTTTTATTTTTCACAATATTTTTTTATAAAATTTTTATAATTTCTGCATTACAGGATGATAAAAAAGACATCTATTAAAAAAAAAACAAATTTAAATATAAATATATCAGTTTAAATTGAAAATACAAAATAACTGAAAAATGTATTAACAGTTTTGAAGGGCATAACATCAGTTTCAGTTACTGACACTGGTGATGTACCACCACTATGCTAAAAGAATTGAACATGAATGAGATAAAAGTATTCTTGAATAGTACTATAGATAAATAAACCTGTTTATGACGAACCAAGCACTTAGTCCCTAATATTTTAACCTGTATGGCAAGGCCAAACTTCAGTTATGTACTATTGAATGAGAGGACCAATTGAACTTGATTACTGATTAATCTTCCTTTGCTTAAATTGAAGAGTCAAACAATATTAATAAAACATTATACTTTTAAAAACAAATATTCTCTAGTGTATTTAATTATCAATATATTATTAGTTCTATCTTTATTCTACCTCTTAAATATTGTTCAGATAAAATTGTGACATAATTTGAGTAAAAGGGTTTTGGACAGTTTAAGACAGTTTTGGACAAAGGGGTTTTGGACAGGACGGTTTAAACCCTGGATTAATCCATTCTGTCCTAAACCTTGCCAACCCTGATTCCAAGTATATAATAATGTGAATATAGAAGAATAATTTTACTCATTTTTAAGCATGCATATTTTGACGGTTATTTTGATTAATAATTATCAAAAATCAACATTGATTAATACTATTAAGGCTATCCAATTAGCAGGGTTCTGCTTAATGTACATTATTTGTCATGCTAACAATACAAAAAAAAGAACAATAATTTATTAAATGTACAGTGCTCAAAATAATAAACGGCCCCAACAGCTTTTGGTCTAATGATCGGATCTTAAGGTTCTATGTCTCAATCTCAATGATCCGATTTTAAGTAATGAAATCAGACACTAAAACATACTTTTTCTGACCAAATATACCTTTGTTTTGACAAATTCGAATTAGTGACCCACAAAATAGCTCCATCTGGAAAATATTGTGCAGATAGTTTGGTCAAGAGAGCAGTTTAAAGTTTGGGCCCCTTAATGTTAATTTTACTTTCCGCGTATTTTACCACATCTCGAGAACTTTTTTAATGAATAGAAAAAAAAAATTTCCCATAACTATAAAGTCCTTTTATCCAAACACAATTCCACACAAAACATAACTTTTAGTATGTATAGTACATTTTTTTTTATTTTATTAAATGATATTCGAAAAAAATGTCAAACTGTAGGATATGCAATTTTTTACATAATTTTAAAGAAAGTAAATTTACACATCAAAATTTGAGCAAAATCAGTCAAAAAGTTCCTGATAAATAGAACTTAGAAAAAAAAAAAACCTTTTAATCAAAATATTTGATTGCTTAAGAACTATTTGACCAATTTGCTCAAATTTTGAATTTTGTTACATTAAATTACAATCCTTAATGTAATGTAATGTAAAAAAAATGTTATGTAAGAAAAAAAACTGCACACCTTACAATGCAAGATTTTTTTAACTACCATTAAATAAAATAATAAAAAATACATAATACTTGCTAAAAGTTATATTTTGCATGGAATTATCTTTGGCTAAATGGATTTCATAACAAACTGTGTGCAATATTTTTTGAAGTCGCTTAAAAAGTTAGAGATATGACAAAACACACAAAAATAAAATTAACGTGAAGGGTTCCAATTTGTGAACGCGCTCGTGACCAACCTACTGCTATCATATTTCCCAATTTGCGGCTACTCTCTACGTTTTGAGGATCAGAAATCCAAATCTATCGAAAAATAGGTATGTTTATTCAGAGAAAGTATGTTTTTGTGTTTGATTCCATAACTTAAAATACTGTCTGAGCTAATAAATTAGCATATTAAAGGTTACCACCTCAAACCTTTAAAAGATTGAATCCTAGAACTTGACGATCCGATCATTACATAAAATGTTATTCTGTATGGTCCGTTTTCTTCTTAGAATTATTTTGCACACTGTACATTTATTAGGCTTTTAATGTTATACCAAATTACAAATGTATGAATATTCAGTTTCTTAATAGATTAAATGCAATTTATAATGTTTCAAAATTTATCTATGTGAATGATAACTTTGCACTAAGCAACACTGATAAGTGAAATAAAAACTAAGAAAGAGAAATAGTTCTTTATTATTACATAACAATATATAATCAGTTCAACATTAATAAAATTAAAAAGAAATAATTAGTTGTAATTTTCTACTAACCTTCTAGAAGTTCAATTGACATTCCCTCAACAAACATATCCCACCAATGAGAATGCTTTGATGTACGCTCCACCCAGTCAACAACTTCAAATTTACTTAGTTTGCCAGCTAAGTACATTAAAGCTATAGCGATGACTTCAGGTTCCCACTGAAGGCAAAGTGTCGTACACAAACTAAAACAAATGTGATATATATAGCACTAGTTATGAGTAGAGAAAGTGAAAGACAGAAGTAAATTAAGATGCCCATAATTTACCTATCATTGATGAATGTCCAGGCCATTTGGACCATATTTTGTAATTTCTTGTTATCACCTAAAAAGAAGACACATTTAAAAACCTTTTTTGTCTTCAAAATTACAACTACACACAATTTAAACATCTAAAAATTTACAAAACTTTGAAATTATTCTAACACAGTTAAAATATCTAAGCATTTAAAATTAGTAAAAAAAAAAAATTTAAAAAATACAGTACTACTATACATAATACTTGATAAACAACCTTTAAAGCAACTCTCGCCTCATCCAAAATCAAATCTAGAATCAGCTAAATATATGAAACAGGGTTCCCACTCAATTTCAGGAAAAAATTCCCTGACTTTTCAACTTATAAAAGGTAAATTTTAATGAAAATACTTATTATATTTTATCTATACCATGCTATTATTCATCAGAAAACTTTGATTTTTTTTTTAAAACTTGTAATATCAAACATTAGATTTTGTGAGCAAAAACATATAATAGAATGAAAATGGAAACATGGAAAATTTTCACTAAGAGGTGGGATTTTTAAAAAAAATTGAAATACAGTACAAGACCCGTTATCCGGAAACCAAAAACCGGAACGAAATTCGATACATTTCTCGCCATTTTAAAAAAGAAATGTTTTTTTTTTCTCTTAAGAATTTAGGATTTTTCTTTCTTTTTTGAAAGATGTTTACCTTACCATCATTTTGGAAATAATCATTAGTGTATTACTTCATCGTTTTTTCGTCTTTTTAAGATTATTTTCAAATATTATTTTTTTTTTTTAGTTTGGTTTATTAACAATAAAAAAACGGCTTTTTGTAACGATTCAGAAAACCGGAAAAATCAGTTAACCGGAAAAATCAGTTATCCGGAATAGCGATGGTCCCGATCGTTCCGGATAATCGGTTCCCTACTGTATATGTTATAATTATTTCATTCGAATCTCAATAACAGATTACTGTTATTGACAATTCTAACACTGGTTATTTTCCAGGTACAATAAAGAAATTTTCCAGGTTTTTCGTAAAAGATTGCAACTTTCCCTCACTATTCCCTGCTTTTTAGAGTTAAAACAAAATTCCCTGACAATTCCAGGTTTTCCTTGCTCTCCCTGACCCGTGGAAACCCTGATGAAACAAATTATCATTTACTCCTTTATTCTTCTTTTGATAACAGCCAGGTATTTACACTTATTGAAAAAATAAATAAAACATAAGTCCTTGATTTATTGACAGTTTTTAAATTCGAGGAGTGTCAAAAAAATTTGTAGAGAGATATCCCGTTCTAAAGTTCTAAATCAAAGTACTGACATGTTAATCTTACCAAACATTTCATTGGTAGACAATGAAAATTGGACTGACAAATTCAGAGGGGTAATAAAAGGCATCAAGAGGATGGAAATTTACCACAAAGGGTTGCAAACTACTTTGAGAGTATGAATATTGCAAAAACCTGCAAAAAAAGATTTCATAGCACAGATTGTCATTGAGGAAATATCAAAAACATCCTTTCGAGTACAAGGTGTGTTTTCAAAATGTTGAAGCAGTTCAATAACATCAGCTGGTGCCACTTCAAAGAATTCTTGTAATAATTAATCAAATAAATCTTTTAGTAGTTATCAAGTTTGTAGTTTTTTTGTAGTTGCTTTCTAGCATGATGTTGGACAATTTTCACTCTTTCGATGTGGTTTGCGACCCCATGATGTTCAATTGCAATATTCTTGATGCACTTTATCAGCCTTCTGAACTTGTTGGTCAAATTTTGTAATTTACCACAATGAGTAATAGTAAGGGACAGTTGTTTTTTTCATGCTACTCATAAAAAAAAAATAGAGATAAATTTATGATGAGTAACAGTTTAAAAAATTTTATAAACAGCTTATACAAAAAAACAAATAAAGTCAACTTAGAGCAAATTACCTTTAAGAGACTTTGCATATCTCAACAAATGTCCATATGGGTGATCAACTTGTAAATCAAATTTAATAGTTTGTAATAATATTCTTTCCAGGGTCATCACTTCTTCCTATAAAATAGTAAAATGATGTTCAAAAAAATTAATTCAGTATATTATGGTTGATACATTATTATAATTGAATATTATATTTGTGTATTATGTACTGCGTGTTATATTTGTATGAATGTTTTTGCCAGAAAACCCTGCTTTTTTCAATTAAAAACAATTAAAGCTTTAATTGAAAAACACTTTTAATAGGATTTCTAAATTAAATGCAATTCTTTAAAGTACCTGCATAACTAGAAACCTCTTTATCCCAAATTTTTTGCCTTTCCCGTGAGATTCGAGATAAACAGGTAAGACTGCATATAGTATATATGATAGATGTTAAGTATATTTTTCCTAAAGAAACTTTAAACACCTGTTTGATGTTAATTGTTATTTATTATTGCTATAAAATTATCACTTGAGAAAATATGCTGGCAAATATAGTAAGATCACCATCTCTCAAAAAAATGCGTGAAACATCAAAAAAAAATTTGATGGCTTTTAATATTTTTGAAAAAATCCTAGTAAAGCATCATGTTAAAGGAGAGAATCACTTTTAATATAAAATAAATATTTTAAAGTGTCTAAGGATGCTTTTTTCTCAATAGAACATAAAAAGAATTAAACAATGAAAAAATGAAATATATATGGCAACTGAAGCTGACATCGTCAAAGGGTACCAGCCCTGCAAGTCAGAAATGCAAAACCCTTTCTATCGAGAGAACACTACAAATGTCTAAGTTGCTCTTTCTGTACCCTAAAGGTTTTGCCAAAAGTCCAGGTAAAGAGAATACAAAATATAAAAACAAACACAAAAGTGTAATACTTAAACTAATACAAAAGAAAACAATATTCAAAAACTTATTTAAAAATAATAAATACTAAAACCAAAGAACACAACATACGGTGCTTTTTTCTCTCAACTATTTTTAACTTTGAAAACTTTTTTTGCGGTATGTAATAAAAAAAAGTTGCTGCCTTCAGTAAGCTATATGTGATCTGATAAAAGAATGAAGGACAGCTGCATTAACCACTAGTGTGATGCTTGAAAAATTTCTGTGAAATATAGTCTAGAACAGTGGTGCCAAAGTCAAAAGCTAACTTGGGCCAAATAGACAATGCTTAACTTTAGGTGGGCTGCAAAAAAAATCAATGTTCATAGAAACAAATATTTTTATTTTGAATAGTACATTGTAATAAACATATATAAAGTCAAATTATTGTTTACGTTCTGATACTTCACATCTCTTCTCTGCTACTATCTTTTTAATTTCAGAGCTACTTTCGAAATTGACCCAACCTGAGCGTTATTAATGTTTCGGACAGGAGATTTATTTCCATTTATAACAGAAAATAATTGCTCTCACTGAAAAGTACTGCCAAACATGGAAATAATTTCATATACGAGTTTTCGCGTATTTTCAAACCTTTGCCGGTAAATATTTGTAAAATTCAAGCACACCCACTTCAATGAATTTTGCCTTCAACTTTGAGTCTCAATGAATCTCAATCACTTCCATTTGCATATAACTGGGTACTGAGTCTATATTTATTGAGAAAATCAAAGAAAACAAACAAAATTTGTCTTCCAAAGAATTATAATCTTTGAACCTTGTTTCAAATTCTGTTCAAAGATTTAAATTTTTTTTTCTGCTTATTTTTTATACGATATAGTATCATCTGAACTAGATTTGTTCTTGTTGCGAGTTGGGAAGTGCGCTAAATCTTTATTTTTCAGTTGCCTTTCCCAAAGAAATAGTTTACATTAGAATACATTAATTATGTCAAACATGTTCGTAATAATCTGACCCTTGCCTTGTAACAATAAATTTAAATCGGATAAGTGTTAGGTTACATAAAAGATAAATCTTGCAACCATATTTGATCGGAGAACAAGCTTGTATCTTGATTTATAGTTTGTAAAAACTTACATATTTTTTCTTTCAAATCCCAGAATTGATTGAGAACCTTGGAGCAAGATAACCAACTTACCTCGCTATAATAGGATAAACCTGATTATGTACTATCTAATTGATAGCTTAGTGTGAAATGGACTCCATTTCAGCCAATTCGAATTTTGCATTTTTGAGCGGACAATTTAAAATGATCCGTATAGTTTATAAATAAAGTATATTATAANTTAGTGTCAGTCCCTCACTTTTTAAATAGTGAAAATAATTAATTTACTTATTAGTTAATTTGAAAAATAAATTAATAAATTGATTTATTAAACTAATTAATTTATTTATTAAATTAATTAATTAATTATTAATTATTATAAATTAATAATTATAAATTAAATATTTAAAAAATTAATTAATTTAAATATTAAGTATAATTTATAGGATATATACTTTCTTTATAATGCCATTACATATTTCTATTAATATAGAAAGTTTCAAAGCTTTTTATTCACTTTACTTTTTTGGGATTTTATGAACTGAAAAATGACAGTTTTCGTGAGAATGACCCATATAAAGTTAAATTATTGTTTACGTTCTGATACTTCACATCTCTTCTCTGCTACTATCTCTTCAATTTCGTGAGAAATTTCATAGGCCGAGACTACTTTCAAAATTGACCCAACCTGAGCGTTATTAATACGGTTTCGGACAGGAGATTTATTTCCATTCATAACAGAAAATAATTGCTCTCACTGAAAAGTACTGCCAAACATGGAAATAAAATCATATGCGAGTTTTCGCGTATTTTCAAACCTTTGCCGGTAAATATTTGTAAAATTCAAGCACACCCACTTCAATGAATTTTGCCTTCAACTTTGAGTCTCAATGAATCTCAATCACTTCCATTTGCATATAACTGGGTACTGAGTCTATATTTATTGAGAAAATCAAAGAAAACAAAAAAAATTTGTCTTCCAAAGAATTATAATCTTTGAACCTTGTTTCAAATTCTGTTCAAAGATTTAAATTTTTTTTCTGCTTATTTTTTATACGATATAGTATCATCTGAACTAGATTTTTTCTTGTTGCGAGTTGGGAAGTGCGTTAAATCTTTATTTTTCAGTTGCCTTTCCCCAAAAAATAGTTTACGTTAGAATACATTAATTATGTCAAACATGTTTGTAATGATCTGACCCTTGCCTTGTAACAATAAATTTAAATCGGATAAGTGTTTGGTTACACAAAAGATAAATCTTGCAACCATATTTGATCGGAGAACAAGCTTGTATCTTGATTTTTAGTTTGTAAAAACTTATATATTTCTTCCTTCGCATCCCAGAATTGTTTGAGAACCTTGAAGCAAGATAACCAACGTACCTCGCTATAGTAGGATAAACCTGAATATGTACTAACTGATAGCTTAGTGTGAAACTGTCTCCATTTCAGGCAATTAGAATTTTACATTTTCGTACGTACAATTTAAAATGATCCGTATAGTTTATAAATAAAGTATATTATAATTTTATATACTGGTTTCGTTTCTAATTCACATTTCCATTTTATTTTCACTTTGTTTCGGATCTATTGACCGGGCCATAAAAAAGTTCATATCGGGCCACATGCGGCCCGCGAGTTTGACACCCCTGGTCTAGAATATTAACTTTTAAGTACTTCAAAAAATATTTTTTCTCTAGGGCCATTCAAATATTACATTAGTATCTAAGAGAGGTGGAACTTGCTTATTTAGGATGACAAGAAGGAAGGATTGTTAAGAGGAAAGTTATGTGAACAGTGCTTACGTGCAACACAAAATTCATCGAAAAATGAAAACTGCATTTTGAAAAACAATTTTAAATTTCTCTACATTTAAAAAAGTTTATGCTTTTGTAACCGCTGCTTTTTTAGAGTTATTAAAATGAAATATTTCTTCTTGTTGATGAAATTCATTTGCATAAACAAAAAAATTGCATGTTTCTTTGTTTTAAAAAAATGACACAATTCAGCAAATCCTGCTTCTATTAAAAACATATTAATCATTTTATGTAAAGAAATCAATATTAACATTTATTCAAGTTAATGTAAAGACATGATTTAAAATCATTTCCCAAGGTCCTTTAGTTGCTTTTAGCATATTGTTGCACATTTTAATTAGTGGACACAATAAAAATATAAAACTTAAGTAAAGCAGGTGAATAGAATATCAGAAAAAATAAGGTTTTTCAATTTACAGGTTTTAAATTAACTGAGCTCATACACTCTATAATTTTTTTTCTCTGCCTATAGATGACAGAATCCCATACCTGTCAGAGGAGAAGACAAATATGCATACAAAGCAATGAAAAAACTTGTGAATAGTGGCCATAACCTTTTATAAATCCAAAATAAAGGATAAAAGAATTCAAAGAAGAAAAAAATGTAATATTAAACAATAAACTTGAAATAAAGCAAAGTAATATAGCTCAAAAAAGCATAGCTCATAAAGTAATATAGCTCATAAAGCAAAGGAAAATAGCTCAAAAAGCATGATCCAGAGTTTGGAAAGTTACAGTTTTTATTTTTAGTATTTTCTACAATAGGGGTCTGTCTAGGTTTTTCTGAGAGATACATATTTTGTGAAAATTTAGACATAATTTGTGAAAATTAAAAATTATGTTAAAAAATCAACACAAAAAAATGGTGAAAATATGGCTTTATCGTTTCTTATGGGATACAAAAATAAAATTTTAAGAGAAAGTATTTTGTGGGACTACCGTTTTTTCTAAAGTTGAATTTGTGAAGGTACCGCTAAACTTGTAGTAAATTTGGCCTGGACAGACCCCTGTACAAGTAATAAAAGTTTTAGAAAAACAACTTAGTTCTTTATTTTTTAAAAATAAATTTTAGAAAACCAAAAGTTAATTCTGTTCAATAATTTCAGATGTACTGTTTTTGATCCCTGTGATGTTTTTTATAAGAAAAGCACTTTCTAACAGGCACACTATTGTATTATTATATGACAATTTCAAGGAAAAGTTAATCGGTAAACTTATTACAGTAAAAAGTTAGGCTTACTTGAACAAAATTTAAAAAAAGGAATTTAATTGATAAAAAGATAGCATCCTATTTTCATAATTTATGATTTAAGGATTAAATTGTAAATAAGACATGTTTTTGGAAATTAATTTCCAAGTATCAATAAATATTAAAATTTTAAAAAAATGAGTAGGAAATTATCAATCTCAGGTACAGGTAGTGTATATAATATACCTTTAATATATATATAGCTATAAATTCTACAAATCACACCTGATCAACAAAACCCAACAAAAATATTACCTTAGGATCATCTCCGAATTGTGAAAATTGATTGTCGCCAAGAAAGCTCTTAGCTGTTCTTATAATATCTTTACACTTCTTAGGGGTTTCTTCTACCTTCCCAGCAAGAAACAAACAGCAACAAGCTGTAACCTGTTAACGAGAAACAAAATACTGAATATTTTTTCAAAATATTTTGCACTAATCACAAAAAAAAAAACATTAAATAGAGAATGTTCATGTTTATAAGACAAATAAACTTATGCATTTTATTATTAACATAGGGCTAACTTCGATTTAATATTTTTTGAACATGCTACAGGCATAATTTAACATGCAATTAACAATCTATATTTATAGCTTCTCTTCCTAGACTTTTTGGAGAAAAATAATTTATTATTTTTAACAAGCTATATGATTGTTTTATTTTAATTTCAACAGTAGTCAGAATGCAATAAATACCAAAAAGGTATGCCATAAATCCCCTTATATTAATGTAATTTACTTACTTAAGCTCTTTATTCCATCTGAAGCAAAAGGCTTACGATTTGGTTTCCATTAATTTATTAAATTTCACTCTCTTAAAATCAGTTAGCATTTGTCTCTTCCAAGTCATTATTAGTCTTCTTTTTCTCTGTTATTAAGATCTCAGGTAAGTAAAACATGTATCTTGGTATGTGATCTGTTCATCTGTACTTTCTCTAATTTATTTCTTCTCCTACTGCAATGAACTTTATATTTTCCAAAATTGCTTCATTTTTCATTTTAACAGGCCAACAGATTTTAATATCGATGTGATGGTATCGTATATTTCTTTTATGAAATGTACTTCATATTTATTTAATTTTTATATTAAAATAATATTCAAGTTCTGTAATTGCAAATTGGAAATAATTATGGAATTTAAGTTGTAATAAACTTAATGACAGTAAATAGGATTCGGAAAATTTTTGGTCATATTATTATAGAATTCTGATGCTTATCAAGGCAGTAATGGAAAAATCAAAATTAGAAATTGCTTTTAGCAAGGATGATATAATAGTAAATAATCACTAGTTACGATTATGCATATTTAAAGGGGGGAAACCATTAAAAATCCAGAACCGACCTATGTAGAAAAGATATTCTATGGTTTAGAGATAAAGGAAAAATTATGAAACAGATTAATTTAAAATGACCAAAAAGAGGTTGAACTTTTGGAGGAAAATTAATTTTGGTTAAATGACTTTTTTTAGATTCCAAGTAATAACATTTTTCGAACACTGCGATTTTTAAAACACAAGCATGTACTAGCGCTATAGAGTTACAAGTTTTAAACACTTACGAGCCTTAAATAGTTTTATGAAACTATAGAAAATACACTTTTAATGCATTAAGAGTTTCATGAAAAAATAAAAAGAAACAAAATTTTGAAAAGATAAATAATCCATGTTAAATAAATATAATTTCAAATTTTAACTTCTCAATAAAGATTATCTGGAAGCAATTCCTATTAGTTGCTTTTTTAGTTAAAATCTCTTTTATTGAATTCCAATTTAGTGAGGGACTAGATTTAATGAGCCTTTTTTATTTCCCAGGCACCTCATTAAAAACAGGTCTTGCTGTACTACATAATTTGTTAATATAATCATAGAAATATAATGAATTGTGAGATTTTAACTTCTCAAGTGTTATTGTTATTGACTTCTAGTACATAAATAAGCTAAATTTAATAATACTTTTTTCCTCTTTAATTAAATATTTAAAATTCCAATCTTTATAAAGATAAATCACAAGTATATTGTCCAAAACTAGTTTAACCTTGGCTCATGATGCACAATTAAGTAAATTTCAATTTTTAATTAAACATTTTAAATTAAAAATTGACTTGTCACACCCTTCATATTCTTAATTTTTAATAGAAAGAAATCAAACATTTTCAAAATTTTAATTTGAATGAAAGCATCTAATCATAGATTTAAAAATATATCAGAGAATATAAAGTGAAATCACTTACATATCTTGGAAATGTTCTGAAACTGTGAAACATGTAAAATCTGTGAAAATAGACAACACCTGTTGCCATAGTATCATATCGACTAAAGGAAGTTAAGGCGGAACATGGAATAAGTAATTTAAATATACAGTCAATTACTGCTTAAAGGAATACTATTGGTTCAAAACTCTATTCAATTAAGCAAGTTAATCGATTAAAAGAAGAGTGCATTATTCTATATGTTATGTTTTACGAAGTTTTACTTTTAAATATGTTTCAATTAAAAATAAACTCATTTTTATCATCAATAAACTATAATCAAAGCTGACATTATAAAGTATAAATACCTCTTAAAGATATTTAAAAATAAATCAATGCTTATGAAAAATATAATATACATAATATAACACTATTTCCTTTCGAAAAAATCTGCAATTGGAGACTGTTTTGATACACATAAATATCGAATACTTCTCTGCTTCTTTTTCCAAGTTGCACAATACATTATAGTCACTTCCAATGTACTCAAAATAACATCTTAATGTGGCTAAGGAATTGCAAATCTCATTAATTGTTGGAGGAAGGGGATTGTCCCGATTCTCTTCTGCTTGCTGGTCTCCTTTGGCACTTGCCAGGATAATCTCTTCTGCTGATTTGATGTCCTTCTCTTCATCCAAATTTGCAAACTCCGCACATTCATTATCTGTTGAGTTCAACCCTTCAAATTCAGAATTCACAAAAATGTGCTTTTTTAAAGCAGCTTTAAACCTCTTCCAATGAGACACTATTCCATGCTCTTTTTGAAAAATGCAGTGCCATCAAGAAGTTTTTTTTTTATATGCATATAAACTGATTCTTCTATTGAAGATTCTTATAAAGCCCAAGACCTTTTGAATCACTTGCAGTTGATAGCAGGCTTTAAAGGAGTAGAAGATTCCTTGATCCAGGTTTAATTTTGCTAATTGAATTCGCGAGAAGAAATTGTAAATTAGGAGATGGAGTCAATTTTATGGCTCGAAATATTGTCCAAAATAAAAATATTTTTTATTCGACTATTTAAAATATCGAAATAAGCCAACAATTTTAAAAATTGTTTTATTTCGAGAACATGTATACAGAATAGGCCATGTTTCCAATTACTGAGGGCTCAAGCTTTTCTGTACCCTGCTTGATTTTAAAAAAATAAATAAGTTGATTTATCTTTATTTCTTATTTTTATTATTTCTTATTTATTTCTCTTCATCTTGCCAATGTTCCTAGTAGTATTGGAAGATGAAAGAGAATTGTTTCATCAAAATTGAAAACATTCTCAGCACTATATTCTTTCAACAAAGGCACTCAAACCTTTTCTCTCTAAATTCCACATACAGAATCATTTGTAGAGCTAGATTCTCCATGTCAGATCTTGAAATTCGATCTGCAGAGCCAATCCTTTAAAGCAATAAACTTTTCATAGTTTTCGAATTTTATGTGATTTTTATTGCTTTTTGTTGAATTATTGCTTTGTTGATCAAAGCATCTTTGGCTTGACGAGCTTGAAACAAATCTAACATTTCCTGTCTACGTCACCAAAATTCAAATTTTTAAAATTTATTGCTTCCAAGATTTTTTCTTTTTTTATGAACTTAAATGGTTCTTTTTTGTGCAACCAACTCAGAGTTATTCACTGGAGTAACCAATGATTATTATTCTTTCGAGAAAGAAACAATGTGCATTAGTCTGCAAGTAGGTTTTTGAAATTTTGTCTTATCAAAGCAAATAGCATATCCAGCAATAAAAATATTTTATACATTCTCAAGTCATTTCAACAGTCTATATAACATCCTTCTTTAGTGAACATATAAACTTCTAAGACAATTTATTAACAAGTCAGCCTGAATTTATTGTTTCTCATACATTTAGCCTTATTTTTTAAACAACATAGAAAATTTTAATTAAAATTTATCAAATTAATTGTAAATAAGACTTTATTATTTTTTCTTGTATATTTGATAAAATTAAATTAGTTTTAAGAAATACTTTTTCACCTTTTTTATTATTTTTATCAAAACAATTGTAGATTGGAATTCCTGTCCTTGCACAAAATTTTTTAGAATAGTCATTAAAAAATCTGGTGATTTTTTTTCCAATCTTAGTTTTTGTTAGAAATTTCATTGGAATTGAAACGCGATCTTCCCTGCTCACACTCCCAAACTATACCATAATAACTCTGAGGGCTTTTACAGATGATTTCAACTTCGTCCTTGCAGCTTCCACTTAATCAGACATCCTGGTCACAAAAGCAATAAATGAATAAAACAAATGGGCAACAGTGAGCAGTCTAACTTTTTCAATAGATAAAACAACTAACAACTAAAATGCAAACTTGTAAATGGTACATCAATACATCTTAATGGGCAAAAAATTAAAAGAACTCAATTTGGATGAGAACCGAACCTCAACAGGACAAACCATCTGAACATCCAGAAAGACAAAGCTGTTAGGCAATTTCAGGCCTAACAATGAATAGCTGGTGGAAAATGAGGGATAAATTCCAAAAATGAATCATTTACTAAGTCTGCATAAAAGAATGATCTCCCATGCAGCTGCTGTCTGGTGTGTTAATCCCAAAAAACAAATTACATTGCGAAAGAAAATTCAGCATGTGCAAAAGTGAGCATTGCAGTATAATGACTGCTCGCCACATCGTACTACTCTGAACAACCAAAGCAAAAGTTCCTTATAGCCTAAAAGAGATCAGTTTACAAGAACCACAAATTGAAACAAAAGGATACCAACCCAATTAATTTTCTAGAAGATTACAATAATATCTCCAGGGCCCCGACTTAGCCTGAATCAGGCCCAGGGCAAAAAATTCTTTGGGGGCCCCCTCTGCTTCACTACTTCTGTAATGAGGAACCAAACTATATGGAGGTATTTAAATTTTTCACCTCATTGTAGATATATAACTAGAAAATTGACTAGAACCTAAAATAGCTATAAAGCCCCCACCCCTTCAATGGTCAGTATTTTTGTAGCCAGTATTTTTGTAAACACATCCCATTTTGCGATATGCAAAAATACAGGCTTTTGTTTGGCCAAATTTATCCATCGTAATTGTTAAAATTTAGCTGAATTCTGCCCTAGAAAGCCATAGATTTAGGAAAAATAGATTTTTTGTGTTCATACAATAGAATAATGAAGAAGCTAACATAAAACAGATTTTACACTGTACTGCTATTTTGATTTTAAAAAAAAGTTCGTTAAGGAAGGAAACGTAAAATTAACTTTCTATTCAATTTAGGGGCACCGTCTGATGCGGGGGTCCAGGGCAACTGCCCCATATGCCCCTGCTTTAGTCAATTTGCCTCTGGAAATCTCTAAGTAAATACAATAAAAAAGACAAAAATATGCAATGGTGAAACATATCACTACTAAAATTGGCCAATTCCCCATGGAAACATTTTAATCATTATACCATGACTAAAGTCTATTCTCTCCCCTTGGGATCCCCGTTCTTTTTTACTACCTATCACTTTAGTGCAAATTCAACCATCGATTACTTAGCAACAACTGCTCAAACATCAACATGTTAATCTAATTAATGTCTCTCTAGAGAGCACACACCAATTCTAGCTCCTTTGAGTTCAACGTGGGTCAATTGACTCATGGCAGCAATGTATGACACTAAAGTTCTCTCAGGCCATAAACTCACTCAATGTAAAAATCCTAAACATGCCTGAACTAATAGCAAAGCAGAGTGAAAACAAGCCCCTAACCCAACAATTCCCCTAATTCAACAATAACTGAACATAAGATCCTAGCATAGTTGAATAAATGTTTGTTTTTTTTCTTCATTAGAGATCCTCCCCTTAATAGAATAACGCTTGTTTTTACACAACCAATAACATTTTTCACCAGTATACTTGTACAACTAAACATCCTTACCATTTTGTTCACTTTTTTCATCTTTTACACAAATAATTATTGTTTCATTTAGTATTTTTCATGAACCGCGAATTTTATTATACTATTGATTACATCTCAGAAAAATATACAAGATTAATGTGATGTTATTTAATCCTGTATTTATATGCTTTAATTATCTGTCGCATCATACAACTCTAACTATTAACAGATAAATGCCCTTTGAGGGCATAGGCACGGCTGTTGGTGTGTTTGTAGCAAGATAACAAAACAAAACTTTCCCAAAAGGATGAGGACATTTTATTATCATTAGTTAATTGGAAACTAGTTAATTTAAATTGTAAATATATATATATATATATATTTAGAAACTAAACTGTTTTCACTAAATCATTTGCATTTTAATCATAACCAAATCTATTATTGTTTAAAAATAACTATGGAATAATCCTACATAAAAGGAAGAATTCATTCTATTTCTGGAATTATAAAATTTAACAATACATATATAGATTGGAATTAAAAAAAATTATCAAAAACAATTCTCAATATTAATTTTAGAAAAATAATTTAATTTTGACCATGGAATAGCAATTAAAAATAACAAATAAAGAAAAAGGATACAGTCCCATTTTAGTGCCCACATTAATAATAAAACGGGCTCCTTCTCTTCGATATCTGTTCTCTTTGTCCACATCGATACCATCAACGATGGAGGGAGTTCGTTTCAAATCTTTCTTCTCATAATACCAGTTAGGCATTAGGACTGTCATAGCAACTGAAATTATAAAGTAAGATTACAAATGGAGGAAGATGTGATCACATAACTAAAATCATAGAATTTTAGAAGTTAGAAATCAGAGAAGAAAATTTAATTAAATAAATACTAAAAACAAAAAATGTCTTCAATTCAAAAATTTATGAACTATCTACCCAATACCCCATTCTATAAAACAACATTTGAATAATAAAATTTAAAAAAACTTTCACACTTTAAAACTGCCTAAGGAAAAAACTACTAGCACATAAAGCTTTTCAATTATAGTGACTGCCACTTATAAAATTGCTTGATTATAAAACCAGATTTTAAAACTTAAGATTATAAATCAGTTTTTTTTTTTTTACTAGGCAAGGACAGATAAAAACCAGGACAAATATAAAAACATGTCAAAACCATTCATTATTGCCTTNTTTTTTTTTTTTTTTTTTTTTTTTTTTTTTTTTTTTTTTTTTTTTTTTTTTTTTTTTTTTTTTTTTTTTTTTTTTTTTTTTTTGACTGAATGTTAAGACATTTTTTTTCTGAAGTTTTGAAAGAAATAAAGCATATAAATAACAAAAAAATATAAATAACAGACCAGGTGTATTTGTAAACACCATATTTGAGTGTCAAAGATAAACTAGAAATTCCTCTAAATTTATCCTTGATTCTCAAAGTAATAAAAGGAAGTAACAATTATTTTTCATAAAGTTTTAAATGAATTTAAAATTTTAATTTCTAATGCTACAAATTAAGCAACAATAAGTTAACATTTTAAAAACCTTCAAAAAGTTATGTAAAGTTAAAATTTAGATTATAGTATATTTGTACAATTTAACACTTAAACTTATTTTTTTTTTAAAGGGTAGATATGCCACAGCCTCTAATGTGACTTTAACAAGACACATTTACAAAAAAATTCTTAAAAATAATAAGTGATTTCAGTCATTAAAATTTTTTCAGGAAATATACAATCCACAATCAGTTAGATAAAGGGAAAAAAATCCCATGCTAGACAAATAAGTGTATTTGTAAAGCCTTATTCATAAATATCATCAATAATAAAAAGGTGTCAATCTGTAATCATGGCTCAAAATGAAAAATTCATTTCTATCTTCATATTTAATATCATAATATCAGTTAATAAATTGTCTGAAAAAAAAAAATTTCCTAAAAAATAGCTTAAAGCACACTTTATCCCACATTTATTATAGATACACATTTATTAAAGATATGTAAAAAATTACATACTTTTAAAACTAGTCAAAATGTTCAGTCAATAAAAAAAAAATTGTTTACAAATTTCGCTTGAAGTTATTGTGGATATTTGACCACACGACTCCAATAAAATTATTTAGCTCAATACAACAATTTCTCCAGCTGCCAATCGGCCTTCCTTGCATAAAGATATAAATGAATTTAGATTATTATTGTTTTATCCGTACTTCAATCTTAAAAGCCTCGTAAATATAGTTTAAAAAATCACACGTTACATTTCATTGTTTAAAAATTAATGCTCTGGATATTTTTGTACAAAATATATTTTTTAGTCAGCTACTAGAACGCATTTTGTAGCTCTTTGCTTATTTCTGATTGCTTAAAGCAATTTTCGGAAATAATTCACCACGAAAAAGTGGTTGCAGTTCAATAGCCACCCACCTACTTAGTCTGACTGTAGTACATTTTCTCCAAACATTAAAGAAGCTGTGACAAATTTATGATATGTTTCAGGTCCAAACGCAAACCCAAAACCATACAAAGACTTTAACAGCATAAACAACAATCTGCACAAAATTGTGAAATGGCTTATCTATCAGTTTCTACAAATAGTCTATTACCGGTAGTTAACCACTTTCCCTTATTTAGTTTTCTAAGTTTTTTGACTGCTTATCTTTCGGATTGACTTTTGTAAAAATGAAATTCATTAACACTTAAAATTTAAAACATTTTTTAAAAAAAATTGCTGATTTTTTTAATAATAGTTTAATGATTATCACATTATCCCAGGGAATGAAATTTCAGATTGAAAATAATAGCCAGTCAAAAAATTTTCGCTCGCCACTAATGAATAATTGTCAAAACATTAACAGATGTAGGATAAAGAAGTTTTTGGTGTCAAAAACCATAAAAGAATGTAGAAAATTAATATCTAAAACATGTTTACTGCTAAAAAAAACACTGATATTAGTTTAAAAAAAGTTTAAATGATTTCAGTGTTATCCACATATAAATAAAAGTTATGAAAATACAAAAATATCAGAAAATTAAGACATCAGATACCAATACTTTTGACATTTTACATTTGCATGAAGTGTCTCAGTCTTTATAGAGTTTCTTCAAACTGTTTTCTATCTATAGCAACAGCTGAAGCCCCTCTTAAAGGGAGCAGTGTCACTGGCAGAATAGCATAAAAATTTTATGTTATGAGTAAACTTTTCCAGTATCTGAGCCAATGTTAGTGAAGAGAACATAAACTTGAATTTTGTCCATTCTGCCCACAACTACTTATTTAATAAAAAGATTTTGGTTTTAATACATGGAAAGTTTACCTCCTCTATCTCAAATTTGAAGAAAAAAAAATTTGGCAAGGCCAACCCAAAGCATCCCTAACATACCTATAGGTTGTCTACCGTAAGAACTCCCTCCGCCACAAAGTTTAAGGTCGTATGCTGTTATGGAAACAAGAATAGCACATTTCTCTTCACTCTAAGGCTAACACAATAGACCAAAGAAAAAAATTCCCTTTCTCACGCCGACCCGACCCAAAACTTGTCCTGAACAACTATCCCCCACCCCTACATGAAATAGTTATACCTCGTTACCATATTCACCGCCACGTGCCCAGACGAATGGCTAGGGGAGTTCTTACTTTAGAAAAACTATAGATGTAATTTAAGCAAGGTTGGCAAGGTTTAGGACAGAATGGATTAATCCACGGTTTAAACTGTCACTTTATTTTTATAAACTACAAATTTTTCTCCTGCTTCAATAATTGTGTGAGAATTATAAAATATATACATAAAATCGTATGAAAGGGTGATTTAAAAATTGTTGAGGATCATATTCAGTTATTACACAATTTGATTAACTTTTAGTGTTAAATGAGGGCCCTTTCAAAACTCAAAGTGTCCTTTGCTGTGAGGAAGCGCCCTGCCCTTTTTCATGCCTATTAAGAACTCCTCCTATTTGTTGATATGGATTGCCCTTCTTCCGTGATGCACATCCATGCATATTTAATTTATCTTCTAAGAGTCTGAGTATAGCTCTGCATTTTCAATATTTGTCAATTGAAAACTCACAACTCTAGGAAAAACGTGGTAGTTTAATTTGAAACACAACATTTTATAACATAAAACATACTCGCCATATCTATATACAGTCAGTATCGGTTATATGGTCAGCTCATGGGTCCAGAATATTATGACCATATAAGCGGTGTGACCATATATGCGATAACCAAATATATAATATAGTTAATATGGCGTGAATATATTCTGGAATCAGAATGTATTTCTTAAACAAATAATTCATCTTTCAAAAACGTTTAAAAATTAATTATTAAGGTGCATAATAAGAAAGAATGCAAAAATAATTTTTATACTTTTAGAAAAATTTAATTCTTTACCTTAGCATATGTACATGTTCAAAAAAAATATTCCAATAAGCTTGTCTGTTTCTTCTTCTTGGTTGTTAAAACAACTTTTTCTAAGTCTCTGATAGTTTTTAAATGTTCATCTGCTGCATCTGAATTTGCAAAAAAACACCTTAAGTCATCTATAGCCTTAAGAGCATCAGCTGTTGATACAGACTTTTTATTGCATTCAGTATCATCCTCATCGTCACTTCCTTCAGCATTCAGATTTAAGACATTAGATACAATGCCTTCCACAGTTGCTTCACAATTAGTGAGGACATCAACGTCTATTTGGGAATACAAATTTACGTCCGGCATTGCATAGCCTCGGTTTCGAAGATTTTCTGCCAATTCAGCCAATGGAAGATCTTCCTCAGGGTCCTCTAATGATACCGAAGAGTCTGGAGAACAGTGGAACCCCGCGTGACGGAAACAATTTTCAATAGTTTTCGACGACACCATGTTCCAGCTTTGGTCAATATAGAACAGTGCGTTCAAAACTGAAACGTGAAATTCTTCTTTTTTGTCTATGGCGGTGATCATATCCCGTAGAAGAAGCTTTCTATACATAGACTTGAAGCTTTGAATTATGCCTTGATCTAGAGGCTGCAACACACATGTGCTGTTTGGAGGCAAAAATACGAGCTCAATCGATTTCAAGCCCTCAACAGGACAGTGAGCAGTGCAGTTATCAGCAATCAATGCAACTTTTCTGTTTTTCTTTGAAAAATGTAGGTCCCACCTTCTGAGAGTTTTTTCCCAGATCGTTTGGGTCATCCATGCTTTGGAATTGGCATCGTACAAAAGGGGCAAAGATTTACAATTTTTCATGCATCTCGGTTTCAGAAATTTTCCAATCACCAAAGGAATCATTTTCTCCGAACCATCCATGTTTGCAGATAACAAAACTGTTAAGCGTTCCTTACTTTTTTTTCCGCCTACACATTTTTCTCCTTTGAAGCAAAGGGTTCTGTCGGGTAAGATCCTATAGAAAAGTCCACATTCATCGACGTTGAACACGTTAGCAGGTTCATATCTTTCATGAATATCTCGCAACACTACGTCTTTCCATTCTTTTAAAGAACTGTTGTCAAAATCAGCAGCTTCTCCGCACAATTTCTTAAAGAATAGGTTATTTCTTGCATTGAATCGCTGTATCCAGCCATTGCTTGCAACAAAATTTGATTCTCCTAGTTCTTTAGCTATTTCTAAAGCTTTTTCTTTTAGAATATTCCAGGATATAGGAGCATTTTGTGATCGTGCATATTTGATCCATGACAGAAGAGCCTTCTCCACATTCTCATAAGGTGACACACGCTGACGTTTTCTTTCTCGGTCGCTAATTGAAACATCTGGACAGCTACGTTTGGCTGCTAAAATGTTGTTT